TAATATTTGGGTTAAAGAAATTGAGTCTGAAGAACATTATCTATCAAGGTTATGAATGAATATGTTATTGAATGTTCTTGTTGTTTGAAAAAAGTATAGATTTTCTTTAATGAACATAAATGATGGAAGAGACGATGGTGGAAAAGGAGAGATAAAGGGTTAAAAGTAAAAACGCATGCAATAACATCTGTTTGGATGATGAAAATGATTTTTGTAAGTAATTAATAAAAATACTAAAATGTCTCATCACTTCGGATTTTCTTTAATAAAGTTAGAGAGAGGACCTTGATCATCACAAATGACAACTACAGGACCAAAATCCATAGTTAATCGAGTATACGAACTTTAGTCATAGTTATCGACATACTAGAGGACCACATTCCTAATTCACTCTAAATAAAGAATATATGAGATAATGATAAAAATTAAATATCACAACAAAAAAAAAATACAACATTTTTATCTATAGTATATTATAAAGCATTTGATATAAATTTTTAAAAATTACAACTTATTAAAGCTCAATGTTTGAATTCATGTAACAAACTTTAGATAAATATAATAAAATACACGATAAACATCTCATTTTAAATATAAAATATCTAAAATATATTAGAATAATCATTGAGTTCTAACAAAATACTTAATTATTATCTTTATAAAAAATTATATAATTAAACCATAAATTCATTTTTAAACTTAAAGTAAGCTATAATAAAAAAAATTAAATTAAAGAAATTACAAAATTTTTAAATAGTTAATTTGATACTAACATTGATATATTTTTTTCAAAATTTTCTATTTTATTCAAAAATAAAAACATTATTTTTTTCTTAAAACCAAATAAAATTGTATTATAAACATCTATAGAATCAATAAATAAAACAAAACATCAAAATCGAATTTTATCTCGTTATATTGTACGGGTACTCTTCTAGTTAGATAAAAATCAAACATGATTTTTTTGAACATGATTAACTTGGTTTATCGAAACAAGTCGAGTTATGCAGAGGTTCTGTTCTCCAATATCCAGATTGGATCTTGAGACGGTCCTGTAAGGATTTTATCCCTTGGAATTGTTGGCTCACGCCTCTGCTCCAAAAGCCTAGTTGAACCTCTCGTTCCTCTCATATTACTTGTTGGTTTGGTTGTTGGTGCTTTATTTGCTTTCACATGTATTTTTTTCTCCTCTTTTTGCTTCCTTCGACTGTAGGTTCAAATCTGCTCTTAATTGTTGCATCTTGTTGTATCTGACCCTTCCTAGTTGTGTAATTTTTTATTGCTCTTTTTTTTGTAACATAAACCATTGTTTTTCAAGAAAAAAATAACACGTAGAAAATCAAATACAGATTAAACAATTTATTATTTCTGAAACGGCCGTTTGTCAACCTAGTCTATATCATATTATCATGTGTCTTTTTGACCATGCCAAAATGATGTAGTGGTTGGCCGGCTCTTAAATAAATTGAACCCCTTTTTCCATTTTAAAATGTATGAGTACCTTTCACTCTTCATAAATGCCATTAATTTCATTTTCAGTATATATATATATATATATATATATATATATATATATATATATATATAATATACATGCATCTTAAGGTAGTGTTTGGTACGCAGACTGGATGGGACATGACAGGACGGGACGGGACAGGACATGACAAGATTAATTGTCTGTCCTATGTTTGGTACGACTAGGACAAGACGAGACAAAACTATTAAAATGACCATATTACCCCTAACTGTTGTTCAATGTTATTTTATATCATATAATAATTATAAAATGACAACAAATCAATCAAAATATTGTCATTTTAACTTTAGTCCCATGTTGTTTCACCTTTTTTGGTGGAACAAAAAAAATCAAGATTTGTCCCACTGAAATTAAAAATAGTCCCACCTTGTCCCATGTTTTTTTTGTCCATGGCATGCCAAACATGAGACTATTTTTTTGTCTCGTCCTGTCCCATATAATTTGCATATCAAAAGCACCCTAAAAGTTAATCATAAGTTTCTTATCAAAAAATAAAAATACAAACATAACCTTTTTTTTTGAGTTATTTAAATATAAATTTGAACGGAACGTATTGTTATGAGAGGATTTTGGCCTCTTTTTAGAATTAAGATCGCAACTCATATGTTTTTTTTTTAAAGACAATAAACAGTTTTATTAAAACACCGTAAACTTAAAAAGGATTTCGCAAACGCAGAAAAGAAACAACACCAAGCAAAAACAAACCCAAACAAAAAGGAGTTGTAGAAGAAGTGGAGAGAGCTTCAATTAGAAACACTACTTTAAGAAACAATCACCAAGAATAAAATGAAGCACTTTAAAACGATATCTAGCCGAGATCCGAACATCAAAGAGGAGTAGGAGTTAATCGTCAAAACCTTGGTCCGTGCACCAATCCGACCAAGAGAGTCCAAAACCTTTTGCATGCTTGAAGACCCAATTGAACGAGAGAAGTTGTAGTTGAAAAAAAGCGATCGATTTGTAAATTGTCGACCACTTTAAAAGTCCGATTGTTCCATTGAGCCCAAATCGAGTAAAGAGAACGCCAAATCACCGCTTCCCAACATATCATAATTGGATTTCGAATGACGATAGAATTTGTACATGTGATGGGATCGTCTAGAGAGATAGATGGCGAGATGCTTGAACTCCACCATTTGAAGACTTTCTCCCACAACTGAAAGCTCTTTGGACACTTAAAGGTACAATGCTCAAGAGTTTCACGCATTCAAGGACACATATTTGAGGGAGCATTTTTTGACTCACTCAACAGCTGATGCTAGTGGAGAGCCTCAATGATCCATCTTGTATTTGAGTAAAGTTATTTCACTCATTTATCAACTGAGCTACATGTCAAAAACATGTTTAATTTATGTATTATTTGATTATTTTTTGAATCTAAACTATTCTATGTATAAAATAATTTGGGTTTTCGTATTTTGTACCCCATGAAATTTGATTATTGTCAAAAGAAAAAAAAATAGAGATACAAACTACTCTAACATGGGGTTGCTTAACAAAGAATGAAGACTTTATAGCTTTTTCAAATTATTATATTTTATCAGAATTTGTTATCAAATTATTTTATTTTTGAAATTATTAAAGAAGTTAAACTTAACAATTATGTATATTTACTCATCACAATGACCTTTTTTTTTGGTGTGTATATATATATATATATATATATATATATATATATATATATATATAGGGAAGGGTTCAAACGAGAACCTCTGTGATTTACGAGAACGTGAGAACAACTCAATAACCTCATATTGTGATAAAAAATAAAATTAAAAGATTTTTAAAAATTAAAATTGAAATTTAAAAAGATTCAAAAAATATTAAAATTAAAAGATAATAATGGAAATGATATCATCAAATATCTTAACACGATTACACGATAATCGTGTGATAAATTTTTGGTGTAATCACGTGATATGAGTGTAATCATGTGATATGTGTGATAATCATGTGATATGTGTGTGATAATCACCATTATACATCACTTGGGTTATCGTTTTGAATGATAACTTAAATTTTTGGTGTAATCATGTCATATGAGTGTGATAATCATGTGATATGAGTGTGATAATCACCGTTATACATCACTTGGGTTATCGTTTTGGTTGATAAGTTAAATTTTTGGTGTAATCATGTGATATGAGTGTGATAATCACCGTTATATATCACTTGAGTTATCGTTTTGGTTGATAAGTTAAATTTTTGGTGTAATCATGTGATATGGGTGTGATAATCATGTGATATGAGTGTGATAATCATGTGATATGAGTGTGATAATCACCGTTATACATCACTTGGGTTATCGTTTTGGTTGATAAGTTAAAATTTTGGTGTAATCATGTTATATAGGTGTGATAATCATGTGATATGGAGAAGAAACATGAACGACATGAAGAAGAAGAAAACTAACAAGAGTAAAACGTGGAAACGTGATAGGATAATTATGGTTAATTAAAATAAAATAAAAATTATAAAAATTACTTAATTACATTACTGCCCTTATTAAATTATTTTTATATAATAAAAGTTAATTTATTAATTAAAAAAGTTTGAAGTTATTAGGTTGTTCATGTGTTCTCGTAAATAACAAGGGTTCTCGTTTGAACCTCCACACACACACACACACACATATATATATATATATATATATATATATTTCCTGAGTAAAGATTTTCTATATATTTTTTTATTGTTAATTACGATGATTAATTTTACGTATTAAAATATTTTTAAAATAAAAGACATTTTATTTTCATTTAGTGAGGTAGGTGCATAAAGTCGTAGGTGGAGCCATAAACGGTATATGTATTTCAAGCCATTTATTGAAAATAAATTTATCGTTTTCACCACCTTCAACCTTTTCAACCCTCTTCTTTTCCATCCACACGACATCTTGATTCCTATTCTTTAACCTTCTGCTCCTTTTATCTGATCGTTGTTAAAATCACAGAGTAACCATATTATCTCCATTAGAAGGTTTCGATTAAAACAACATCGTTGTTTTCTTCAAACTCGGTGTCAATTACCGATAATTTACGTGTTTGTTTAATTATACGAGAAGATGAATATTATTTGTTTGCAAAATACGGCATTATTTCAGCATACGTGTGTATACATATGTATAATAGTATAATTTTTAACCAAAAAAAATAGAAAAAAACGATTAAAAGACAAAATTGCACCTCAATTATTAGATTGAGACTTGATGTATGGTCGCAAGAAAATACAAACCATAGAAATTACAAGTGTAATCACTTCAATTTAGGGTCAACATCTATTATTTCATGTAACACATAGGGACAAAAATGTAATTCAACTATATATTAATTTAGACTTGTATTTATTTTTGACACCATGAAGATACATCTTAATATTTTATTTATTTTTCTTTTTCTTAGAAATTTAGCACTCTCAATTACAGACGTTGAAGAAAGTTCTCGAAAAGTAGAAGGATGGAAGAATCATCATCAAGCCCCTTCCAAATCTTGCACGGGAAACTCTATAAAACCCACAGAATACGATCCCAACCCACCCACCACCATGAACCGCCACCACTTCCACCCTTTCACCTTCCCGGAATCCCAGTCCACCGTCATACCTGACCCCTCTTCTTTCTTCTCGCCGGACCTCCTCTCTTCCCCTCTTCCCACAAACTCATTTTTCCAAAACTTTGTCCTCAAAAATGGCGATCAACCCGAATATATCCACCCATATCTTATCAAATCATCTCTCTCCTCGCTCTCGCTCTCTTACCCATCTCTATTTTCCAACACTTCATTCACATATCAAATCTTTATCCCTGATCTCACCATATCCGTTTTGAATAACCCGAATCAAACTCATATCATATCTTCTTACAGTGATCTGAGTGTCACTTTGGACCTTCAACCCAATTTGAGATTCTTTCTCGTTAGAGGCAGCCCGTTTTTGACATGCCAAATCTTGCACAGTGTCGCGCTATCCATTTCGACTATTCACGCGATTCTTGATTTTGTTCCCAATCATTCTAAAACCAAGTATAAGATCAATCTGAATAATGGTCAAACATGGGTTTTGTATTCTTCTTCACCCATCATTTTGACCCATGAGATATCCACGATTTCATCTGAAGAGTTCCGCGGTATAATACGCATTGCTATATTGCCAAATACCGATTCGGAATTCGAATCGGTTCTTGACAGGTTCAGTTCTTGTTATCCGGTTTCGGGCCATGCTGTGTTCAGTAAGCCATTTTGTGTTGAATACAAATGGGAGAAGAAAGGTTGGGGGGATTTGTTGATGTTAGCAAACCCTCTTCATCTTCGTCTTATTGATGATTGTTCAATTAATGTTCTTGATGGTTTTAAATACAAGAGTATTGATGGTGAACTTGTGGGTGTTGTTGGGGATTCATGGGTCTTGAAAACCGACCCGGTTTCTATAACTTGGCATTCAATCAAAGGAGTTAAAGAAGAATCATACCCACAAATCATTGATGCTCTTGTGCAAGATGTTGAGGGTTTGGATTCAACTAATATTTCCACCACATCATCATATTTTTTTGGGAAATTGGTGGCAAGGGCAGCTAGGTTTGCTTTGATTGCTGAAGAAATTGGTTATTTTGATGTCATCCCAAAAATTCGAAAGTATTTGAAGGATACAATTGAGCCATGGTTAGATGGAACCTTTGGTAGTAATGGGTTTTTGTATGAGAAATCTTGGGGTGGGATTATAACCAAACAAGGGGCTACAGATATGGGTGCAGATTTTGGTTTTGGGGTTTACAATGACCACCATTTTCATATCGGTTACTTTCTTTATGGAATTGCTGTTCTTGCTAAGATAGATCCCATTTGGGGAAGAAAATATAGACCTCAAGCATACTCTTTAATGGCAGATTTCATGACATTGGGTAGAGGCGCAAATTCGAAGTATCCTCGTTTGAGATGCTTTGATTTGTGGAAGTTACACTCATGGGCTTCAGGATTGACTGAATTTGCAGATGGTAGGAATCAAGAAAGCACAAGTGAAGCTGTAAATGCTTATTACTCTGCTGCTTTAATGGGGTTAGCTTATGGAGACACACATCTAGTTGCAGTTGGTTCATTGCTTACAGCCATGGAGATTCATGCTTCTCAACAGTGGTGGCATATTAGAGAAGACGACACCATTTATGCTCAAGATTTCACACGTGAGAACAGAGTGGTGGGAGTTCTTTGGGCTAATAAAAGAGACAGTGGGCTGTGGTTTGCTCCAGCTGAATGGAAAGAATGTAGGTTAGGGATTCAAGTGCTGCCATTGTTGCCAATCACAGAAGTGCTGTTTTCTGATGTGGGGTTTGTGAAGCAGCTTGTGAAATGGACTTTGCCTGCTTTGGAAAGGGAAGGTGTTGGAGAAGGATGGAAAGGGTTTGTGTATGCATTGGAAGGGGTTTATGAAAAGGAAATTGCTCTTGAGAAGATTAGCAGATTAAGTGGACATGATGATGGGAATTCACTTACTAATTTGTTATGGTGGATCTTTAGCAGGGATGATAGTGAAGATGGAAGTGGTAAACATTGTTGGTTTGGTCATTATTGTCATTGAAGCTGCCACCATGTCATTGTATGCAGTATTTTCTTGCACTTTTTGTGTATATTTTCTTCAAGTTTGATGATCTTGTTTTTCAGTTATTTAAATTTTCAGTTTTTTATATGAATTAATAATAAATACCTTTGTTTAAAGAAAATCAAGAAGCAAATCTTGGTGAATGTATCCTTCAATCAAGCAAATAGAAATGAGAAAAATTGGACATGATTGATGGGAAAAGGGGAAAGTGTGAACACCCAGTTTTATAGCTGGAGATCTCAACAAATATGCTTGTTGCTATACTTTAAATTCAATTAATTTTCAAATCTTGTTATGATTAGTTTAACAAACGGGTCAAACAAACCAAGAATAAGATTAAAAGGACATGTAATTACGGTTTGTGGCGTAACTCACGTCATGGCTTCTTGACGTGTGGTATGGCGTGTCAAGGTGTGCGTTTTTTTAAGGTGTGAAATAAGTTATTGTTTAGATTTTTTGCTTTAATGTTTTACAATTTCATCTTTAGATTTTTCATTTTTACAAGTTTACCTGATCGCATCATTCATAATTTTATGGATTAACACATATTACGGACTCACGGTTAATGGATTGACACAAGTCACGGATTCACGGTTAAAACAAAGTTGTAAAACTCTTTCAACTTCTATTTTGAATATTTTATCACAACTCTTTATATATCATTAGTATGTATGATTTTTCTTTTTCTAATACTACTGTAATTTTTTAGTAGGATTATATTATTGAATAATAAATATAAAACATGTATGTATATATAACAGATTTAGGGGAACCTATAAAATAGTGAAAACCTGATAAACACTCTAAACCATTCATTAGTATCGGTATTCACATATACATACAAGTAATTTATCCAACATGCACATGCACACGTGCATAGTAACTAGGAAATACCTTCAATTCCTTGAATACACATGTGCATAAATAAAAATGAACAATTATTAGTGTGTTCCTCAATTTTAATTTTTTAAGGGTTTTTCATTGAACCTCGTTCTCATTATATATATGACATATAAATTTGCCCCATTTTGTCCGGCCTTGAAAAATGTCACTTCCTTGCGTTGAGGTTTGTCTTGCTATCACGTTACGTCTCATACTATTTAGAACCTTGTATAGATGTTTATATTCAACATTTTTTTATTTTAATTTCCCTAAAATAATACACTATTTGTGTATGAAAACATCTAGATTCAAAGTTTACTACTAACTTGCTTAATTTTGTTTTATTAAGGGGGTGTTTGGGATTGCTTGTTTAAAACAATTTATATTTTTTTGTAAAAATGTTTATTAACTTATGTGGTATCAAACCGGAGTTAAATAAAATAGGGTTAAAATTGTAAATTAGTAATAAACAGTTTTTCATATGTCAGGAAGAATTAACTTATCAAAAACAGCTTATTACCGGTTTGGTACCAGTATAAGTAGTTTTTTTTCTTATCCAAACATCAGAAAATAACTTATCACCGATGTCAGACTGAAATAAGTTAAAAATAAGCTTTTATAAAAAATTCCAAACACACCTAAAAACAGACAAGTAATGAATGATCTTATGAACATCGATCAATAATTTTCATATGAAATTAAAATACACTCCATAAAATGAAAAGGATGAAAATTGTTATCCCTGTCTCTTTCTTCTTTTGGTGATATATGAAAATCGTGCTTGCAATCAAACAAACCCACATGACAGAGCACAAACTCTCGAACATGCCCTTCATCATGTTTGTTTTGACTTCCCTTCTACGATCACCCTCAAGAATGTGAAGACTTGTTCAAAGTCGCCCCCACGTTAGCTTTCACAAATCTAGCCCTACACCACTTCTGCCATATTTCTTCAAAGTGAAGATCTTTTACACAAATTCAAAACCCCACTTGAATGATCAAGATTCTTGTTTGTAACCGTGGCTGGATGGATGGAGCAGATTAGGTAAATTATAGCAAAAAGATATTGCTTTTCGAGTAGAATTTTTTTAGGGTTTCCTCTTAGTCTACTCTAGGTCTTGCTTGATTTTGTGCCGCATTTGCATTTGCATTTGCATTTGAATCTTGGTTCTGTGCTTCTCGTACTTGTTGGAAATCTTGGTTTGGGTTTAGTTTGGAACATTTCTCAATGTTATTGCCAAAATCTTGAATTTGAGGTTTGAGATTTGATTACATTGTAGATTTGTTGTACTGGGTGTTTGTTGAAATATTAGGAATTCTGGTTGCTGATTACTGAAATCTTCAATTTGGAATTTTCCTTGGTGTTCTTGCCGAGATCTTGAATTCTGAGACTGTACTTCATTGAAATATTAGGAATTTAGGTTACCGATTACTGAATCATCAATTAGGTCGCTTTGGAGTTGTTCTTAATGTTTTTCCCCAAATCTTGGATTTTAAGATTTGGGTTTTGATTACATTAGGGATTTCTGTACTGGGTGTTTGATTAAAGTGTATATATCTGGGAAGATTTTGCTGGAAAGTGAAGATATCTAGGGTTCTTGAGATTTAAGGATTGGTGTTTTCTGCTACATTGTGAATTTAATCATGGGAATTTAGATTTAAATCAAGAATTTTGTTGATAAAAGAAGTTAATCTTATTTAGATGGCTTCAACTTCACCTTCTCCGGGTTCTTCGCCTTCATCAGTTCCTCCTGTTTCTTCAAACCCTACGCCGCTTTCGCCGGTGTCTCAACCAGATCAGGCAACTGTAACACCGCCCCCTGCTACCCCTGCAACCTCAGTTCCACCTGTTCAATTGCCCCTGCCCCCGGTTGCTGTTTCACCGCCACCATCTCCACCACAATCACCTCCACCGGATGTACCATCGTCCCCACCACCAGTACTACCTGCTTCTCCCCCTCCATCTCCACCTGCAGCACCACCACCTGCATCGCCCACATTGCCACCACCTGCATCGCCCACATTGCCACCACCTGCCAATGCCACTCCTCCAGCTGCAAACCCGCCACCTGCTCCAATTTTGCCTCCACCGCCACCATCAGATGGTGGTTCTCCGCCACCATCAACCCCGACACCAGACCCAACTGCTTCTCCTCCATCTCCAACCCCACCTGACCCCACAACTTCTCCCCCATCTCCACCTCTTTCTCCTTCCCCACCACCTCCACGAAATGTTCCATCACCATCAGCAACCGCCTCTTCCCCTCCTCCACCACGTGCAAACCCACCGGAAAATTCTCCACCAAGCCAGCAGCTAACACCACCTCCTATCTCCACTACTCCACCTGATCTTCCTTCAAACAGCCCCATTAGCCCTTCAGCTTCATTATCACCTCCTCCTTTCTTAACTCCAACCAATTCATCCGCCCCTGCCGCCCCAACTACTTCAGAACTGCCGCCATTACCCACCGAGAAACCAACTGCACGGGCAACAGACACCACCACAACCGGTAGAAACGGTACATCTGGTGGATCTCCTGGAGGATCAAAAACAGGAGGCGTAGTGGCAATTGGCCTTGTTGTCGGGTTTATCACACTCGGTCTCTTTGTGATGGCTGTGTGGTATAAACGGAGAAAAAAGAATCGCGGTGGACATCCTAACTCTGGCTACATTATGCCCTCACCCTCTGCTTCATCCCAAAAGTCAGGTGCTTTTCTAAACTCTCATTATTATCATACAACTACATTTTATAGGTGTGTTCTTTATTGCAGCCACTTGGCGATATAGATACTTCCCATTCAGTCAATTTTTGGGGCCTTGAATTACTCATTATTATCATACAACTACATTTTATAGGTATACAAACATATGTTTTCTTTCAAAAACACAAAACCAAAGAAACCCGGTATATCCTACTCGAGAGTAACTCCTTCTACTCGTTACAGATTCGCAATTTCTGAAGTTCCAACAATCAGGTCATCCGTTGGGTGGAAGCCCGTCAGGAAGTAACTACATCTACTCTCCTGATCATGGTGGTGTGGGAAACTCTAGGGGATGGTTCACCTACGAAGAATTAGCTGAGGCCACGGATGGATTTTCAGGAAGTAATCTTTTAGGTGAAGGTGGGTTTGGGTGTGTTTATAAGGGTTTGTTGGCTGATGGGAGAGAAGTTGCTGTTAAACAACTGAAAATTGGTGGTTCACAAGGAGAGCGAGAATTTAAAGCTGAAGTTGAGATCATTAGTCGAGTTCATCATCGCCATTTAGTTTCCCTTGTTGGCTATTGCATCTCTGATCATCAAAGATTACTCGTTTATCAATATGTTCCAAATGACACCCTTCATTATCATCTTCATGGTAAGCTTTCGATTCTGTAATCCATTTGTGATCATTTGATGCTTATAAGCTCATTGTTTTTCATCATTTTGATTATATTTTCTCTCTTTTTAGGCGAAGGCAGGCCGGTTATGGACTGGGCAACCCGAATTAGAGTTGCTGCTGGTGCAGCTCGTGGTTTAGCATACTTGCACGAAGATTGTAAGTTCACATTCTCAACGCGTTTAAGTTTCTTTTTTTTCTTTCCGTGTAATAACTTTCCATGTGCTTATTGTGTATCAGGTCATCCACGAATCATTCACAGGGACATTAAGTCATCAAACATTCTATTAGATGACAACTTTGATGCCCAGGTATCTTACGGTCCTATTTTGTTCCCTAAGATGATTAATCGACCACTCGGATTGGTTTCTTTGTTGCAAACAAAGTTCTTGTGAAAATGAAAAAAGAAAAAAAAACCACTACGCTTTGCAAGAATGAGCGGTTTTAGACAAAGCTTTACGAGTATGATGGATTAATGGTTGTATTTACGTTTAAATTTGTACAATTTGTCTGAAATCACTTGCTTGTGTGAAAGTATAGATTTTCGGGTGAACATGCACTAAGAAACCAAGAATGATGGTTAGAAAAGTTGCTAACTCCTTTCGAAATGCATATTTGTCTAATGGACAGGTGGCAGATTTTGGGCTTGCAAAGCTAGCAATGGATACGAACACGCATGTCACAACTCGTGTCATGGGAACCTTTGGGTAAGTAATCGTTTTCAACTAGTTAAACCTACTATCATTTCTACTAATCTTTTTTTGATAATATTATGCTGTTCTTGTGATTATCAAAATGGAAAATGATCGGTTTGATAAAGATAAGAGTGTTGTGTTCTTCTTGAGACAATGATAGCCTGACAGATGCTATTAGGGTGTATCTGAGTTCAGCCCTAGATTGGTTGGGCTCGGGCTTGGCTTGTGGCCTGCGAAACTTGAAAAGCATAGGCCTGGGCTGGGTGACCAAAAGCTGGAGCCTTGGCTAGCTCTTAAGGCTCGGTTCCTGTCAGCTTGTATTAGCATGAGCCAGTGGGGCTCATATAGGCTTGGTTCCTATGGGATTGTACACGCTGTCAAAACTTTTCGGCGAGCTGGTTCATCTTGTTCATACCCGTGATGTTATACGTCTATTTAGTTATTTTTTTTACATCTGATGGAACGAGTATTGTGATTGGCTCAGATATATGGCTCCTGAATACGCTTCAAGCGGGAAGTTGACCGAAAAGTCAGATGTTTTCTCATTCGGAGTAGTGGTCTTGGAGCTCATCACTGGCCGTAAGCCTGTCGATGCATCTCAACCCTTGGGTGACGAGAGCCTGGTTGAATGGGTATGTTTATAATTGAATTACTCTTTTGACCTCATGAGATATCTCCCCCATTAATTGGTAAATCTGAAAATAGAGTCCATTTTGATTCTTAATTACATCATTCTTATGTACTTTCAGGCTCGACCTCGGCTCAATCAGGCGCTTGAAAGCGAGGAATTTGATGCATTGGTAGATCCAAGGCTGGAAAAGAACTATGTGCAGGTTGAAATGTTTCGAATGATCGAAGCAGCTGCAGCCTGCATACGCCATTTGGCCCCAAAACGTCCACGAATGAGTCAGGTATTCACCATAACCATGCTTCATTGTCAGGGCGTTCCAATCTTTTTGGAGGCCCAGTTACATCTATACCAAAACTATAGATCGACTGGACGACTGATAACTAAAACAAAATATAAGAGTTCATACAATTTAAAAAACAATAAAGATTTCCTAAATCGACAAAATAACATATGAAATGCACTTAAATTGTAACAGTTTTAATTTTCAGCCAGGTATATAGATATATACATATCTTTATCATAATTTCTTATAAAGTTAAGCGGTTTCTAAAGGTCCTTAAAATAAGAACTAAAACAAGGTAAATAACTTCTTTTAGTGAAAAAAATATTAACTATAGAGATAAATAAGTAAGCAAGCACACAACTAGCTTACAAAGCTACTTATCAATAAGCACATAAGTAGCTTACTAAGCTACTTGTATACAAATAACATTAGCCACAAAAATCTTATGACAAAGCAAGCCTACTCTTTACGACAAAGCAAGCGTAGAGAATAAGCAAGCCTACTCTTTATGACAAAGCAAGCCTAGAGAATTGAGTTGCAAGAGGAAAAGAGTTTGTGGCACCCCTAAAAGCATTACAAGGCAAGGCTAGGAAAAAAGATAAGAATGAACAAGTACATATGTGGCATATCCTTAGAAATTTACAAGTTGAAAAGCTAAGGTAACAAGTAACTTAAAGTATGTCATACACCCTATGAATAGAAGCTTAAAGTGCTCATTCTTTTCATCCCAAGATTTTAAGTAAAGACTAAGAAGTAAGTTAGAAAGCCGAAAGCAGGGTATAAATAAGGTGAGTACGTTATGAGATTTACTGGGGTACATACATGCTATATATAATGTTTTATGCATGAAAGAGTATTGCCATATCTTCTTGTAAAAGTTATGTTATGGTTATGTGGCAAAGTACACCTTTTATGTCATGATGCAAATGTGGTATATGAAAGTTTTTATACATGTTAAGTAAACCAACTTCTCACAGGTTCTTCAACCTCGGGTCCACATAAGGGTTGCCCAATAAGGTTCGTTTGCAAGATGCACCTTCTATATCCCGTACGTTGGATATTTAAATGGTTATACTTAACATGTATAAAAACTTTCATATACCACATGTGCATCATGACATAAAAGGTGTACTTTGCCACATAATCATAAGATAACTTTTACAAGAAGATATGGCAAATACTTTTTCATGCATAAAACATTTATATATATATATATATATATATATATATATATATAGCAATCCCAGTAAATCTCATAACATACCCACCTTATTTATACCCTGCTTTGGGCTTTCTGACTCACTTCTTAGTCTTTACTTAAAATCTTGGGATGAAAAGAATGAGCCCTTTAAGCTTCTATTTATAGGGTGTATGACATGCTTTAAGGTACTTGTTCATTCTTATCTTCTTTCCTAGCCTTGCCTCGAATGCTTTTAGGGTTGCCACAAACCCAACTCATTCTCTAGGCTTGCTTTGTCATAAGATTTTTGTGGCTTATGTTGTTTGTTACTAAGCTACTTATGTGCTTATTGGTAAGTAGCTTTGTAAGCTACTTGTGTGCTTGCTTACTTATTTATCTCTATAATTAATATTTTTTTCATTAAAATATGTTGTTTTAGTTCTTATTTTAAGGGCCTTAAGAAACAACTTAACTTTATAAGAATTTATGATAAAGATATGTATATATTTATATACCTGGCTGAAAATTAGGGCCGATTACATAAATATAATCATTCTTTGAAATCTAGAATCGTCAGATCAGCTAAAACGGAAAGTCTAAAACGTTATGATTGAGTTAAAGGTTAAAACAAATAATCCTCCGTCCCAAAATAAAATGTCCACAATGGAAAATGCACGCTTCTAGAAATGTGTAATTGTTGCACTTTTTAATTAACTAAATGACAATTTTACTCTTAATAATATTGGTGGGTGGGGAAGGGGTAATAAATTCTCCAATTTTATAATTAAGGGTAGAATTGGAAAAGAGACACTTTGAAAATGGATACTTAAATAAAATATAAATGTGGACATTTATTTTAGACGGGGGAGTATAATTGAGTAAAGGCTAAAACATGTATAATTGGGCCCCAAATTTTTGGGAGGCTGTGTCAATCTGGATTCTGGAACACCTTCCTATTGGATATGATTAGTTCAACCCGTAAAATAAAAAAATTAAATTTGTGCAGGTGGTGAGGGCCCTAGATTCGATCGTTGAGTTCACGACAGATCTGTCGAATGGAATGAAACCGGGACAAAGTGAAATTTTCGACTCGAGAGAACAATCTGCACAAATTAGATTGTTCCAAAGGATGGCGTTTGGTAGTCAAGACTACAGTTCCGAATATTTCAATAATTCTCAGAGCAGCTGGAGGAGTTGAAAGGGGTAGGTTAAATGCACACCTACTTATTAATATCATCATCAAGACATCATATTTTACATTTTCAATGTATGATTTGACCTGATTTTGATTATATAGGTGTGCATATAGCAATACCTGAGTAGAAAACAAAACCCGGGATTATTTTTATACACCGTCAGTGATAAATAAGATACGTATTAAGATAGCACCCAACGGAACGTTTGTTCTGATGTGTGAGTTTTTTACACGGTCGGTGTATAAAAAATGAACCAACTATGTTTTGGCATTGTTTTCATTCTTTATGGGAAATCTTGTGCCAAATTTTCCATGTAAATTTTGGTGTCGATCATCTAACAATGTAAAAGGATCGTTTTATTGTTATTTTTTGTTCATTTGATTTGTATTTGTGATGGTTTGTTTTTAGTGTTTTTGTTAGCAACCACCAGGGTTCCGCCTTATACCCGCCGGCCGCCGCCGTGACGTCAAATGGAACTCTGCATCCGACCACTCTGGTGCCGGTGCCGATGCCGGTGCCACTACCGGTCATCAAAATTAGAAATTGCTTTATGAAAATATAATTGTGAAGAATAAATATAACAAAATAAGAGTAAGGACATGTTTGTTAACAGCTTAATGGGATTTATAACTTATTCAGTCGATTATACATGACAATAATGACTTAATAATATTTTATTCGGTAAGCTTTTAGAGGAGAGTTATATACAAAAAAACCTAAGTTTTTTCAAACCCGCTTCCTCCAATTAAAAAACAAGCTATTTCCATTTATGAGAAAACCTCCTACACAAAAACCCTCTTGATTCATATAGATAGATTAATCCATACAATCAGATTTATGTATATAGTATTTAATGAAAACCAACCTAAGACCATCTTCGGTCATAACCTGAGCAATCAGATTGTGAATGGGACAAAAAGAGTTTTTTTAAAAGAAAAAAATAAAAATAAGCAACCAATCTCCACCAATCCTTCTCACCTAAAAATCTTGAATTTAAGCCTTTTTTACTAAATAAAATTGACATGTGACATTTGTTTATCGGTTGTTTTTTTTTTTAATAAAACTTATCTAATTAAAAAGTGACTTTAACAAAAAGATTAAAATTAAAAGATACAACAAAATTCATAGTTTTTAATTCCCTACATCTATAGTACAATATTGATATATTTTCATACTTACTTTTATGACTTGTCTTATTTAATTTCAATTGTATGATAAGTTTTTTTATAGTTGTAATTACGTTTTAAAAGATTCAATAACCCGTAAAATTTATTTTTTATATTTAAAATTAAAAAATAATAACTATATATGATAAAAAATAAAATATATAATTTTCACAAAATTATATTTTTGATTGGATTTGATTAAATGAAAAAAAAATGAGATCAAGTTGGAGTTGAAGATTGTGTGGATGAACAAGACAGAAAATAATATTTTAATTGTGATTGACTTAGAAGAAATTGTGAGTAAACATAGGGGGTATTGGGATTGCTTATTTGAAACAACTTATGTTTTTCTATAAAAGTACTTATCAATTTATTATAAGTCAGAACGATTTAACTTCATCAAAATCTTTTTATTACCGTTTTGGCACCGGATAAGTTATTTATTCCAACACTCAAAAATACTTATTACCGATATCAAATTAGAATAAGTCAATAATAATACCAACATTCCCAATATCCATGGTCACCTTTTCCCCGAGATCGACCCAATTAAATATCATTTTAATTATTTTATTAGTTTACTATAAATTTAAAAATATAAACAAATAGCAGATTTTCCAAAGTTAATAAAAATAACAACTATTTTGTACATTCTTATTAATTGTAATAGTTGTCTTTTCTTTTTAAAATAAAAAAGTAAATTACATGAAAATTCGTGGTATTTTCTTCCTTTAACATAATAAAACACTTGCCGTCGATTCTCTTTCATCTCTCTCACCTTCGATGGTAGGCGACGCTTGCCGCTAGCTACTTGATGGTGATCATTGCTAGCCCCCATGATGCCGATCCGATTGTCCTTATCCACCAACCACTGCCTAGTGGAATAAGCTCAATCAGTGGCGGATCCAGAAACTTTTATAGTTAGGGACATAATTAAGGGTGTGGATTTTTTTTTCAAAACCAAATAATTAATCTGGATGAAAACGGTTTTGAGTTTTCCTTTTCGGCTTAAATGGTTCAGTTAACCGAATAAAGATAACTTATTCAGGTCGATTTTCAGTTGACTTTTTACTAATTCATCGAGGTGTATAATTTTATGTTATATATTTTGAACGAAAATATCAGTGCATGCTGCAAATGGACCAATTAGCAATCAGGGCCCTTACCTTGTTCTTGTTGGGTGCACAATAGAAAAATTTACTAAACAAATCTTTTTATAGCTTTTTTTTAAGCGGTAGGTTTGTTGGGGGCCTAGGACCCCTACCACCATGCACTAGATCTGCCCCTGACATAAAGCCTCCTTCAAAATCCAAAACTGAGCATATCATAAAGTTTTTCTCCGGAGACTCTAGTGGTGTTTCAGATTTAAGTTCGTTTCCAGTTTTAACGAAGGATGGAAGTGACATATCAATCGTTGTAGAATAGTGCTAAATGACGGAAATGACGACCTTCTCGTTTCTTGTTTTTTTTCTAAGGTTTTTAGACAATCTCATTTTAATTTATAATACATGAGCTTTATATTTTAGAAAATTCAACAAATTTACATGGACTTATTCTTTATGTTTATAATGTTTGGGTTATTATTTGTACAAAATTTTACTTTTTTTCTTGGGTTTGTAGATGTGTTTGGATTATTGAATGTTTGGTGAATATGCTTAAGGCTATGTTTGACAAACTAGCTAATAAGTTAGTAAATGGTTGATAAGCTAACTATTAACTGATAAGCTAGTTATTAGTTGATAAGCTAGCCTGTAATTGATAAACTAGTTGATCAATACATTATGTTTGACAAAAACTAGCTTATAAACATGTAAAATGACCAAAAAATACATCTTGAAAAAATAGTCAATTACAAGTATTTCATAATATAATTCAAATAAATTTCCAATAATATAATTAAAACAAAATTTTCTAATAATATAACATGTTAATTAATACAAACAAGATAATAAAGAAAATAAATTAATAATACAATACGTTAATTGAAAGAATTTAAAATTGATTATTATATATATATATATATATAGAGAGAGAGAGAGAGAGAGGAGTGATCATATGAAAACCGCCCTCATTTGTGTAAACTATGCAAACCACCTTCATCTGTCGATTTCGTTGTTTAATCTTATGAAATTTTTTCATGAAATTGTTTAATCTTGTGAAATTGTTTCATATAATACTTTTTTTGATGAAGTTGTTTCATATATGGTTGTGAAATTGTTTCATATAATACTTAATGAAACTGTTTCATGTATTTCTCTAAAATTAAAATAATGAAGATGATAATATCTATGATTAACACCCTCCACAATAAAAATGATTAATCAACCTCTCATAATTACAAAAAAATGAACAAAATGAAAAATTATGATTGGTTGAATGCGGTTTGCACGGTTTGTACAAATTGAGTGGTTTGCATTTGATCGCTCCCCTATATATATATACACTATAAATTTTAAATTTATTAAAACAAATTTAAAAGAAATCTACAATAATCTAATATTTTAAACAACCATTACATATATATCCTATTATCCTAACTAATTAATATTTTTTTCAAAAATACCATTAATGATTATATTAAATATTTTATTAAAATTATTTAGCATATTTTAATTACTTATGAAATAAAAATTACATTACTTTAATTTTTATATTACTTACATAAACATTTTCAAAATTGTTATATTAGCTTTTTGATATCTAAATATATTAAATAATGATTAATAAATAATAAATATAATTAATAACTATTATTCGTATTTATTGTATAAAAATTTCATTAATTTCTTCAAATAACTAGTTTTTATTTATAATTAACATTTATTAATAGTAATAATAATGAAAAAAAATAGTGAAAAATGAATTTATCCAAAGACACGACACGAGTGCTCAAAACCTAATGGTATATTTGTTATTTTCCGTCTCGTATGACTGAAACTGTGGGGGCGGCTACTGCGCTCGGAAAACAAAGAAACACACACTGTTATCACCACTGTCTTCCCAAGGCTTCTGAAGTAGCGATCAAATCGAAAAAATGGGGGAAGAAGAACAAAATCCTCAGAAGATGAAGAAGATAGCGGCCGCCACCTATGATTTTGATAACGACCCTAGATGGGCTGATTACTGGTCCAACGTTCTCATGCCTCCTCACATGGCGTCTCGCTCCGATGTCATCACCCACTACAAACGCAAATTCTACCAGCGTTACATTGTTCGTACTCATTAGCCACTTCCATTTTTCTTTATTCGCTTCTAATCTTTATCAACTTGTTTGTGTTTTGATCTAATTGTGCATCTGGGTAATTGGATTAAGCTTATAGCTTGACGTCGAACTGTCACTCTTTTGATGTCATCATGGCGTTTGGTTTTGATTGCAATTGTTAATGTAGAATCTTTAAATCAATTTTTGTTATAACCCTTGTTTGTTTACGAAATTCTAGGTTTCTGAATCGAATTTTTGATGCATCATGTGGTTTCAGCTCTTTCGTGGATTCTTATTCTTTGTACACTTCATTTTGGTTCGTATGCTTACATGCTCTGGAATTAGAGTCTATATTTCTTCAGTAAGTAGGGAGAAATTGTTATTGTCGGCAGAGGTACAACATAATGATGAAGAAAAAGGTGAAACTTTGGATTCCAAGATAAATGTGAATAAAGAAAACACAAATGGAATGTGGAAGAACACAAACCATTCAGCTGAAATTTTTAAGACATGTAAAGGGAATAGATTGAATCAAAGACGGAAATCTGAGGAGTTTAATAGACCATTGGAAATTTGAAGATGAGGTGGATAATAGAGGCAGACTTCTAAATAAAGAGAACGGAGTATTAGGGTTTCAATAACCACCAGGGTTGTGGCGTAGTGATCGATGCCTGGAGGGATGTGGTAAAATATCCCATCTGCCCTGGGTTCAATTTCTAGGCGTCCACAACAATTATGGCTACTAAGTTTATCAGGGCTGATGTCTTGCGATCACAATTTACGAGGATTAGTCTGGGCATAGCCTGGGACACCCTTGCAAAAAATAAAATTAGGGTTTCGATAATGTACATGAATATCTTCATAAACTATGGTAGGATGGTACAAATTTGTGAACACTTGAACAAAACCTAAAATCATCCGCGTGTGTGCTAGTTTTATCAGGAAATAAGTACAGAAGACCAATTGGAAAGGCAGTGAAAATCTAGCAAGAGTGCCTTGTTGAGTGGAACTGCCTTGTCAGTAGAAGTTACTTGTAACATATTGAGGAGGTATCATAGTTGTGGTTTACCAGAATGACTTATTTTATTAGGGGAAAGTTTTTCATTTGGAAGATACGGGCAAGAAATGCTACAACTTTTGGTCATTCTAATCAAGCAAGAATAATGTAAATGTATGTATTTGATGTTAGTAGGTAGTATTGTGTGTAGGTGGTATGACTCACTTGGGTTTTTGGTAATTGGTGATTGGTATTTCATATATTTACATGGTGATTTATCAACATTATCATGGTGGATAAGTACACATAATCTCATTGATGATGATTAGCTTCCTACTTTAGTTTGATAGGTGCATCAAATTAGTATAGATTTTCTTCTTTTATAGGTTTTGATTTTGGTCAACAATTTCCTCTAATTATACGTGTCACATGAATTTCAGTTTTGGTGGATGGAGTTTCTGCAATGTATATGAACTTATATTTTAGCTTTTTTTGTCATATCTTGATCGGGCTTAGAATATATATTGCTTTTCAGGACCCTGATCTTGTAGTAGAACCAATGACTACTCAAAGTACCGCAAAGTCATCAGCACCATCATCATCATCATCTACAAGCGAACATAGGCCATCTCATAACTCAGGTGGATAATTATCTTCTTGTTCATATATTTGTTTTTTTTTTTTTTGGCCAGGAGGAGAGGTTGGCATCCTGGTATGAATGATTATCTTATCTCTCTCCCTCTATCATTTAATAACGATATCATTATGTCTGGTGTCATCTATACTTCTCTTGAATGTCATAGGTTTTGATGTGACTGTATCATTAGTTCTTGAACCCCTCGTGATTTAATGGAATTTGAACTTTGTAGGGTCGACTACAAGAGCAACAAGGGCATCAACTCTGAATTCAACTCCTTTGCGCTGGGATCGACAAACAATACAATTTTCTGTCAATGCTTGGGTATGCATATTCTTTTGTACTTACTAGCAACACACTGAAGACTATCACACAAACATTTCAGAATCATATATATTGGATGCTGAATTAGGGAAGCTCCAACTTCTTGTTTTCTAAGAGTAATTATATAATTAAGCTTACTTGTTTTGTAGTTCTGCAGTCCCTTAATAGCTTACTTCTTACTCAAACTGTGAAAAGAAAATGTGAAGGTTCTTACTGACATTTGAAGGGTACTATATGGCCCCACAACCATTTGGAAACAAATTCTAAATCATGGGTGCTTTGGAGAAGTTATTTTTAGGTCTGAAGTTTCTTAATTTCTTGTGTGATCTTTGAAAACGGAATATAACATTTCATAAAATACTATATGTTGGATCATGGATATCTAATTAGGTAAAGACCTCCTTAAGCAGGATTTAGGTTAGTGTTGCTCAAGTACAGGAATGTTGGGAGTAAAGCACATCTTTGATGGTAACTAATTTCATCTTCTTTCTCGTTTTCTTTTCCTTTCTTGGATGGTGGTGAGCACCTTTTTCTATTCCTTGGTAACCATTTCAAAGAAAAAAAGAGGCAATGGACTTTAGTTTTAGGCAAGAGCATACCATTTTGAAAGAAAAGTCCGCATATAATATTGTGAAGGCTTTTTGACATTCTTATTCCTGCAGGTCTTTGTTGTGGCTGTGCTCGCTATGTTCCCGATCATACCTAAAAGTCTTTCTAATAGGGCATATCGGCTGTCGTTTATTGGCACTCTGTGTTCTTCGTTGTATTCCCTTTACTCTTTATATGGGGTAATGATTTTCTTCTCGTTGGATTTCCCTTTATGATTACCATTTCTCGATGCTTGTACTAATACTTGTTTGCAGAAACCAAGGGCTTGGAATTTGCAGGCGGTGCAAGTGTGGCTTCAGTCAGTAATTGCAACCAAGGATTTTATCTACTGCATTTATTGCCTCACTTTTGTTTCGTCAAATCTTCAACTTAGATGTTAGTACTACTTTATTATTCTTTGTTCATTATTTTCTAAATTTCTTTCTAGTTCTCACCTGATATTTCTCATTATTGAATGATTTTGCAGTTGCTTTGCTTCCCATCTTATGCCGATCCTTGGAGCATTCTGCAAAATTCCTTAAACGTAATTTCAGTCAATCATCCTTGTACAGGTACATTTGATTATTATGTGGCTTCAGTTTAGAACTCCCTCCGTCCCAAAATGAAAGTTGACGTGAAAAAAGCACAGAGTATTAGAAAGTGTAGTTATTACATTTTTTAGTAACTAGATGACAATTTTACCCTTAGTAATTGGAGTAATGAATTTCTCCATATCATAATTAAGGTAGAATGGGGAAGTAGGCACTTTATTTGAAAGTGGAGACTTAGGATTTGTTTGTTAGCAGCTTAATGGGACTCGCAGCTCATTCAGTCAGCTATACATGATTTTTTGGTAGTGGCTTAATGATATAGAAACTGGCTTATTCAGTAAGCTTCTAGGGAGGAGCTTTATGTAGAAAGCCAAGTTTTTTCAAACCTGCCCCTTCCAATTAAAAAAAACGCATCTTCCATCTATGAAACAAACCCTCCCAAACAAAAACCTCCCAATCCATACAAACAGATTAATCCAAACATTTAGCTTTATCCATACAAGACTTGGATGGAAAATCAACCAAACAGACCCTTATTTTAGTATGGTGGGAGTAGTTTCTTTCCATTTTTGTCATGCTCATGAAAATTAGTTAAAATGAAACACATTCACCAATTTACTTTTTGTGCTGATTCAATTAATTCGTTCTCTTGTGTTCATCCTATTATGCTTAATCATGGGTTTTTAACAGGAAGTACTTGGAAGAGCTTTGTGTATGGGTGGAAACAAACACAACAACGCTTAGCGTACTGTCTTCTCAAGCTGAGATTGGAATAGGATTCCTTTTAATTATCTCACTTCTATCGTCAGTATCTAAACTACATTTGCGTTATTATCCAGATATTGCAAGCTCTTATATTCGTTAAAGAAATCTTTATCTCAGCTGCTTTTTTCTGATATATTTGATTTGCAACATGTAGGTGGCAGCGTAACATTATACAAACTTTCATGTACTGGCAGGTTGGTTTGACCCCTAACATTGTTTGATGAAAATGATCTACTTTTGGGGATTCTTTCAAAGTGATTGCCGATAGTTGCAGTGGAAGATACCCAAAAGAACGGGCGTTTATGTCAATTTTTTCGGAATCATGCTGATGTGAATTTTATTCATAAATAAAAATCTTAACTTTTTATGAGAATATAAACAGAAGCACATAATGTACAAATTTTCCAAGTATTTTGTGATACTAATTTAGTTTTTGCAACTCTTTTTGGACAGCTGTTGAAGCTGATGTATCAGGCACCTGTTACTTCCGGCTACCATCAAAACGTGTGGGTTAACGTTGGGAGGACGGTTAATCCGATCATCAATCAATATGCTCCATTTTTAAACAGTCCCATCTCTGCAATACAGAGATGGTGGTTCAGGTAGTGATGATAACAACACCCTTTGTCTTTGGAGAAGAAGCAGCAGCAAATGGGAATAAGGATCCATGTAGACTATTATCTGACTACTTTTAGCCTAATTATGTAAACTCCATGCAATTTTTTATCTGAATTTTGTTAAACCTTGATGGTATTTGATGGTTGATATTGTGATTTGGATAATATTCTTGAATTTGTGGATCATAGCATTGATAATGGTAGTGTTTTTGGGTTGTAATGGAAAGTAGTATTTGGATGTTAAAAAGGTGGTTTGACGTTGAAAATCAAAATGTATATGTATAGATTCTATATCTAATGTTTAAGGTTTGTGGTTGGAAGCCTGAAAAAGAGGCGTGTGACATGGAAGTGGCCTTGAAATCAAACGGATGTTGATCCAGAATTTTTTTTAAACGATGATACTATTTGATTATTCGAAACAAATATATAGTTACTTTTCACAAAATAATGATTAGTCTATTGGTTCGTTTTTTGCCATTCATATGTGACGACTTGTGTTTAAGTCTTTTTATTGCAATTTTTTTAGAAGCATAATAAATTTAAAAATTAAAGCTAAACCAAGGAAAATGACACAAATTGGATTCGAACCCAGGTCTAGGTGCAAAAAAGTCATACAAACCAACTCTATCAAGGAAAACTTGCGTCACCATTGTAGTTTCAAAATATATTCGTTTGCACAAAACAAACGGTACAGTAGCATCTTTCACGACCCTTATAATTTTTTACACTACGATAGAGGAACGAAACGGTGACCCGTGCCAGCATATATATTAAAGTGCCCCCCTCC